TGCTTGGAAGAGAACTGAACTGCTGGGAGCTAAGAATGACAACTATGGCATACAATGGGATCAAAATCGTGCTGAAATATTCAGAGGTGGCCGCAATTAATAGGACGGAAAAGGTGACCTCTGCGTTTCAACGTGTCGAGAAGATGGTGCTGAAAGTTCCCCCAATAGCATCCAGGTGAGATGTTATTCATACACAGTAGAGGAAAGGAGTGGTGGGAGGAGAAGTATGAAAAGAAACAAAATTAGGTGAGGGAAGCAGGAAAAATTATGAAATGAAATGGAATGTGGTAAAAAAGAGAGAGAGAAAACAGTAGCAACAGTGCAATCCCCGAATCAGAAAACAACAGGTAAATGTCCATCCCTCTTAGCGTTTGAGTGATTCAATCAAAAAGTTATTTCCTTCCAATTAGCCTGAGGTAGGGCCTGAAATCTAGTTCCCATTTAAGTCAATTGCAAAACACCCAGTGATCTGTCTGGGAACAGGATCTGGTGCCTAACAGCCAGGGGCAATGATCAGAGGTTGAGGATGAAACGGGGGCTCTCACAGCATGTGGAAGGGGTACTAGAAGGACTGGAAATTCACTTCACTTCCTTATTCTCCTGAGTATAGCTATGGGAGTGTAGACCTGCCAGCCTGCCATAGCAGAGGCAAAGAGCGGATGAAAATGGGCACGTTTTTCCGTAGCTCTATCCTGCCCTGGTTAGAAAACCACTGACCGCACCTCCCAAAGGCAGAAATATTGTGCTTAAGGAAAAGGGGGGAGGGGGGAGTGAGGGGCTTTGCCTGGCAAACAGATTGGAGGTGGGGGAAGGGTTTTCCCCTCCCAGCAAGGAGAATATCTGGGGACTGCCAGGAAATTGTAAAGGAAAAGAACATCAAAATGGGAGGATGGCAGTGGACTAGAAAGTCTCCGAGGGGTAGCTGTGTTAGTCTGTAACTTTTAAACAAGTGAGTAGTCCTGTGGCACCTTAGAGACTAACAAACAATATATAGTATCGTGAGCTTTCCTCGGCAAAACCCACTTCCTCAGATGATAGGGTCTCTTCCTGTTTTCCTTCTTTATCTGTTCGTGCTGTAGGCCTGGGTGAAAAGTGGCATTTCCCAGGCATGAGGGATAGGCTGGTGAGAATGGGGTGATTAGCTGTTTGCAGTAGACACACATTTTATTTTTAAATCTATTGATTTCAATACATAATCTTCTCGATTTCATCTTATAACCTCTTCTACAGCCCTGGGGTGAGGACTTAAGGGAAAAGCAAATCGGCTCGGAGAGGCCTTTACAAGCCTGCACTTACGGTTGACGGCATCTTTGAAGTAGGTGGGCTCAGAAGTGTCATAGACAAACAGGATCTTGTTCATTTTCCAGAAGGCTTCCTGCCCTTTGCTGGTGTTGTGGCCTTCCTGCCAATTAAATCCCGATGGTCATTTCAGTAAAAGAGCTTCCTGGGAGTTAAAATGCACCGCTCGGGTCGTTTTAGGACATTTGTGGCTCCGTCTCACATCTAGTGTCACCCTCCCCGAATGCAGGGTGGCACGAATGCAGGGTGTTTCCTCACCAGACGTTAACACGAATCCGAATTTAAGACCTCGGGCTGGTTTGGTGGGAGTGAAAGGTCATTGGCTTTTGGTTGACAAAAGGAAAACAAAAAGCAGCGCACACAGTGATTGTAGAGTCACTTACTGTGACGGCACGTTGGGGGTTCCCCGTCTCCTGCACCCCGAAATGGCACAAACAGACTGTACCAGCCAGTGGAATTGAGGGTGGTTTATTGCTCCTCCAGCACAGCACAGCGCAGCACAGATGTAATCTGGTTACAGGAACTGGGCTAGGATGCCTCAGGCCCCCTTGAGATGGGGGAGACTGGGCCCCTAAAACTCCAGCTCCTCTCCCTAGGCTGTCTCATCCATCCTCACAGACAGCCACCAACCAACTAACCCACTTCCAGCCCTGCCCCCCAGCCAGGGCCGCATTCACCTTCCTTTGTTCCTCTCCATGGGGGGTGTCTGGCCACTGGTTCAACAAGTTTGTCCTTACCTCTGCCTAGTGAGGTTTTCCCTGCTGGGTCTTGCTCCAGACAGCAGAGGTCACCACATCCCAGCAAGTACCCCCACTACGTCACACTTACCTTGAGAAAATAGAGTTTGAGGGTGTAAGTTTTGTCTAGCCAAGAGATCTGGAGTTCCGATTCTGTAGGGCCACATTTTCCTTTCATTTCTGCTCCTCGGGAAAGTGGAATCCCAGCTTCTTCTGTTATCAGCTAAGTGCACAAACCACACACACACACACACACACATACAAAAACCACACACACACACAAAAGAATGTTACTGGCACCAGCCCTGGCTGTTCATGGCAGGAGAAGGGGATCGTGTACATGGGCTCCAGTATAAAATAGCAGAGAAATGCGTCCTTCCTCCCTCCTCCCTCCCACCCAAAGGGGAAAAATTACGTCCTTTGTGGGTAGGCACAAGGAGTGTAGACACAGCAATGCGGATCCGTCTGGCTTTAGGGAACTGGGTTTTCCCATGCTCTAGTTCAGACCTTTGACAACTGCCCCTCTCCCAAAGCACCAAATGCAGATGCATCCCCTGTTCCTACCCGTTCCGCTACGGATTCTGCTGGGAAGCGAATTGAAAATGGGTGGGGAGGGTTCAACGATCACCAATATCTTTCTCCCCTCTTTGGCAGTGCAGGGAAGCGAGGGAAAGGGGCTGCGAGCTGCATAAGGACCCCGAGGCGAAGCGAGCGCCCAGGCTCCGTGGGAGCGCACCCGGGCGGGGAGGTGCAGGTAGGTCCCCACCCGAACCTAACGCCCTTGCTAAGCTAAGCGCGCCGCGAGCTCTTCTTACATCCACGAAATTGCTGGCCGACACCTGGTAAGGGACGATGAGTTTGGCTGCGAATTCTGCCATGAGGCAGGTGGTACCGTTCTCCCGCACCACGAAAATGTCCTTCTCGGGGCTGCTGGCGAGCCCGGAGAGGTTCTCCACTTCTTGCTCCGCCCCGACCCGAGCCACGGCACCTGCGGGCCAAACCACAAAAGCAACAGATCCCCCTTGTCAGGCTCCGCGGAGGGGGGCACAAGTGGCAGCTTGGCTGCGAATTCTGCCATGAGGCAGGTGGTACCGTTCTCCCGCACCACGAAAATGTCCTTCTCGGGGCTGCTGGCGAGCCCGGAGAGGTTCTCCACTTCTTGCTCCGCCCCGACCCGAGCCACGGCACCTGCGGGCCAAACCACAAAAGCAACAGATCCCCCTTGTCAGGCTCCGCGGAGGGGGGCACAAGTGGCAGCTTGGCCCCGCTCCTCGGCAGCCCCCGCGCCCAGCCGGGCGCTAAAGCCCTTGGCGAGACATGAACGGGCTTTAGGGCAAGCGCTTCTCTGGGGAACCAGCCGGGCGCCCGA